GTAGTTAATGTCACTGAACTGTGCATGTGGAAATTTTTGAAATGGTGTATCTTTGGCTATGTGTATTTTCACCAAAAAAAAAAGGTTGAGAAGTTAGAGGGTTGATATGTTGTGGGGTTGTTAACCAGTGTCATAAAACAACATGTGTACTACTGTTTCATGAGAAACTATTTGTTCTGTAAGCCTTCACCTGAAGTACAATTAAAAAAAAAAAAATTATACATCCTTACTAATTTCACATCTTTAAACAATCTCACCCCATTCTTCCTGTCTATCCTCAGCCTATACCCTGGAAGATGCTGGCCCCTCTCTTTATCACAAATACCACGCTAAATCACTTCTTCAGCACTTTGTTCAAGCTAAACTGCCTAGCAGAGATGTTCTAATCTATCCACCTACACCCTCCCCACTGACAGCCCTGAGTGCCTCTAACCTGATGCCCAACCATATCCCACTAAAATTTCAAGGCTCAGCTTATTTGCTACCTCCTCTGTGAAAGGGAAGGATCATATATGGATGAGTCCAGTGCATGCGGGTTTTCCTTTCTTTTAATATCTACTGGAATGATTACATCTACCATATAATTAAATAAACCTAGGTTCAAATGGCTCCCCAACTTTCTAACTGTGTGTTCCTGAAAAAGGAACTTTAATACTTCTGATCATCAGTTTTGTTTTTTGTAAAATACAGTCTACAAACTCTGTAAGGCTGTTGTTGAGTTTCCAGCCAAATAATGGCTATAAAGGCTTAGCAGTGTGGTTGGCAGATAGCAAACACGTAATAAAATAGCAGCTGATATCCAAGACCTACGCCCAGAGGGGTTCAAGAAATACTTCTTGATTAATTTAGATTGATCATTAAGGAAACCACATAGTTCCAGTGCTCTAGAATTCTGGCACACTGCCCAAGTTTTCCAGTGCTTTAGAATGTCAAACATGAATGGCAGCGGTTACGGTAGGATTCTGAATCACTGAACTTTCCAATCTGCTGGCTAGCTATTGTCAAGCCCTCAATTTTTGTAAAATCCCATTTATCCGCTCTTAATTTTGAGAACACACACACACACAAATGAATGTTAATATCCGCAAAGAGAACCATATCTTTCTGTTGCCCAGCACCTTTATTTATACATACACTCAGACCATGGATTAGTGGTGGCATTGTCCACAAGCCCAGCAGAGCAGCTGCATTCTGTGATGACTGTGCCTGGGTCACCATAATTTCAAGGCACAGTTGCTGTATCTCTTCACCTAAAAGATAGGAAAGGAAAAGAATCTTTGTAATATAGCTGCTTCTCTGCCTCATTTTGAAGCTTCCATGTCTGAAATCAAAGTATCTGCCTGTGTACGTTCTGCAGGTAAAAGAGAACGTCAGTAAATTAAAAAGTATTTCAAGAGATCTTTTAGTTATGAGGCAAAAGAAAGTACCCACTAGGGTCAGAGTCCCAAGTCACCTTAGAACTGGCAAGAGGCTTGTACTTGCTAGGAAGATTTCTCTTATGATATTAAGAGAAACCTAAGCACTCCAACACTATAAAATTTTTGAGAAAATTCTGATATAAAATTCTCCCTGTCTCTGTTTTCTCCTCCTTTTCACCTTGTAACTAGCAGATAAAGAAATCTACCTAGGTCTGGAATGACTTAAAGACAGTCACATTCACTAGAGATCAAGTCTTTTAAGTAGTCTGATTCCCCCATCAGCAGAGTTATTTTCCCAACCAGTCCTTTTCTTCTTCTTCTTTTTTTCCCTAAGGATTTTTACTAAAACACAAACATTTTCAATATGGCACACAAAAGTGAAGGAGGGGCACAGCAACATATTTTTCAAGTGAAATCTGTGGAAACGCAGTATGGTGACATCATATCTTACACAGGGGTTAGTGTTAAATGAAAGCAGTTAAGTAAAAATTTGTATAGAGTCAAAGTTATCCTTGGTCATTCCTTAAATTGCATGTAAATTGTAGTATATAAGTCTTTCTGTATATTATATGTAAGTAAGCACTCTACTATAAATAATAGGGTGCTTACAACAAACACACTTTTAAATTGTACTCCTTCTGTTGTTAAATTTAAACAACACTGTTTAAATTGTACTCCTTCTACATAAAATTACATTTTCCTTTGCTAACCCCATGCTATATATAAGAGGTTGCTGTGGATGAACTGGAGGTGTGGCAGTGTGTATTCTGTTTGCCTTACAATACAAAGTATTTGTGGTAAGCAGGATAACGACCCCTAAGGATGTCCATATCCTCATCCCCCAAATCTATGAATATGTTACCTTACCTGGCAAAAGTAACTCTGCAAATGTGATTAAGGTTAAGGATCTTGCGATGGGGAGATAATCCTGGATTATTCAGGTGTCCCATTAATCACATGAGTCCTTAAAAGTACAAAACCTTTCCTGGCTGCAGAGAACCAGAGAGACGGCAGTGTGAGAAGGCCTTAGCCTGCAGTTGCTGGCTTGGAAGACAGATGAAGGGGACCACTAGCCGAGGAATGCGAGCAGCCTCTAGAAGCATCAAAAGGCAAGGAAATGGATTCTCCCCTAGAGCCTGTAGAAAGGAACGTGCCTCTGCCTACACCATTATCTTAGCCCAGTGAGACCCGGGTTGAACTTTTGACCTACAGAACTGTAAGATAATAAATTTGTATTGTTTCAAGCCACTAAGTCTGTGCTAATTTGTTATGAGAGCAATAGAAAACTAATACAGCATGCCATATGGGACTTCCTTGAAATCAGGATTCCTGGAAAAACGGTCTGATAACCACTAGACCAGGCTCTATGGGATCCACACCACACACCCTTGTAATATGCGCACCTCAGTTGAGTATTGTCTTGACTGAGTGTATCTGGCCTTTCTTTAGATCTCCTGATTTTCACTCTTAGTTATTTATAAAGAGACTTATTGAAAGTAACCAGCCATCCTATCCACGAAGACAAACCTCAGGATCTCGGAGATCTAGTAAGTCACTAGTGATTACGATGTGACATAGCATCTATTTTTCTACTCAGGTCAGATTCTAAAAACAGAGTCCAAAGACCTAAACACACTTGAAACTTACCAAAGTTTAGTCTCATCAGTGGTGAGAGGAGTGAAGCCCAGTTCACAGGAGGGAATTGGTAGTTTTCTCCAACAGTTGCTATGGGCTTCATCACTACTTTAAGAAGGGAAGGAGGTACAGACTCAGGACCTGCAACATAAAGGAAAATAATAATAATAACAATAAAACACCTCCATAGCATTATGAGTACAGAAAATGTCAACTTTCTCTTTTTTATCTGCTTTCAAAGGATTTGGTATCACACCAACTGTGTCTAACCTCTCCATCTGTGCTTGTAATTCCAATCCCATTTGTATAGAATCTTTCACTCTCTGTTTTTCTCTCCTTTTTTTGTCTCCACTCTTCCCTCTTTCCTGGATGGTTCTCCTCCATGTCCCACTTAGCTGTCTTCCACTTTTTCTCTTGCATTTCCATTCAGTTTTCTCAAAAGAATAACTTACTCTAACATTATTGCCTTACTCCTCAATCTGCTTCTGCCAGAGAGGACAATTACTGACTACTCAGGCACATTCCCTTCAAAGGTCTATGGATTACCTACACTCCTTGTGGCTCTAGATGGTCAGGTTCCGTACCATGTGATGTGCTGCCTCTTCTACTCCTCAGCCCCTGCCACGGCTGAGATCCAGAGGTGAGCACCTGAGGTAGTAACACCTAATCCATAGGTTAACGAGCTACCTGTGACAGTGCCATTATATTAATATTATTTTCTTTTGAGGGAGTGTGATTTGGAATTAAGAAGCTGAGACACTGGAGCAGTTATGAGTGGAAATGTAAGGTACAGTATGGGTTGGAGTACCCACTAGTGGGCATGTACAAGTGAAGTAACATGGAGGTCAGAAATGATGTATAAAAAAGGAGAAAATGACTAAGAAAAAAGCAAAGGCAGCAAAAACAGCAGAATCAGCAAGAGGAAAAGCATCAGCAAAAAAAGGAGAGGCAGAAGAAAAAGGAAAAGCTGAGGCAACAACAACAACAAAAAGCAGCAAAATCGGCAAGAACTGAAAAAAGGAAAGGAGATAGAGACAGAGTTAGAAAAAGGAAAAACAGCTTCAGAAAAGAAGAAACACAGGCAAAACCAGCAGAAAAAGAAGAATCAGCAGAAACCGAAAAAAGGAGGAAGCAGAGGCAGAGTCAGAAGAGAAAAAACAGCTGCAAAAAAGGAGAAGCATAAAAAAAGGAGAAGCACAGGCAAAATCAGCAGGAAAAAAAACCAGAAGAATCAGGAGAAACTGAATAAAAGGGGAAGCAGAGGCAGAGGCAGAGTTAGAAGAGAAAAAACAGCTGCAAAAAAGGAGAAGCATAAGAAAAAGGAGAAGCAGAGGCAGAAGAGAAAAAACAGCTGCAAGAAAGGAGAAGCACAAGAAAAAGGAGAAGCACAGGCAAAATCAGCAGAAAAAAAACCCTGAAGAATCAGCAGAAACTGAATAAAAGGGGAAGCAGAGGCAGAGT